AAAGAAAACAATTTTTATGTGAGATCTCAGGCAGACAGAATATTGATCAATTTTAATGTCATTTTGAAACAACGGCCGTTCACGCTAAACGAAAAATCAACAATCAAAGAGAAAGAAAAGCGGTTTTGTTGTAGTTAAAATGTATATTTAAAAAAATCGCTATTGTCTGGATGCATTCATTGAAGATAAGACATCTGTGAATTCTTATTGTTTTCGGTATTGTTTATTAAAAATCGAATAGAAATATTTTTACGTTTTGGGACAAACAGCAACTCTTTTATTTGTGGACAATGAAGTTAGTTCATTTAAGACATATGTACTTTCAAGATGATTAGCACTTCGAGAAGATGTTGATGGTTTTAGCGACGTCATAGAAATATAGGTTCAGTTGCACTTGAACGATTTGTGTCCTTACCTTATTGACGGCGAATTTTATGGAAAACAGTTCATATATACAAGCAGTATACTTAGTGGCAATGAATAGTTCTGATGACTGAATGGTACGACAGCTGTACCCTCTTTCTAGAACACAAAAGACACTGAATAGTGTACTCTTCGAAACAAAACAAAGTTGAAACTATGCCAAACGATCTATGTTCGTTTCGACAACCATGTGTTGCACTATGTTCCTCTGCAAATGATTCTTCTATACGCGACACTCTTCTATTGTCTTTACTAATGAGACAATTTATATTTTCTGTCTTATCGATTCTGACTATGTTATTGTTTATTTCACTCTATTCTGTCCTAGACTTAATGTGTAATTTAAAGAGTGTTTTTTGAGCGCTTAACGCTTGGATTTTATTGTTCTTTATTATGTTTCAAATAAGATTTCAACTGATATTTGAATAATTTAGATACTCGTAAGAATAAATAAATCACGATAATAAAAATGGTTATCAAAAGAAGATATGAATCGAAATTGTATTTAACAAAGGTAGAAAGTTGAGATTGTTCAGAATTGAAGTTGTTCAAGTGCAAATAACCGATGAGTAGCCATTGATCGATTATTTTAGCCGCTTTTTGAGCTCCTCCGGCTAATTCACTAATTTGATGAATACAGACTAAACGTTCAACGACACTGTCGTGTTTATCATTTAATTTGTTAATAT